CCCCAAAACCCCAAAACCCCAAAACCCCGAAAATTGGATTTAAGGTTTCAAATGGAGATTAAAAGTTTTATTATAAATATGAAGAAATCATTCTCTGTTAATAGTATGACATCAAATGCTTCTGCTAATTTCAAGCCCATTGAGTAATGATAGTAATTAGCTCTAACTATTTCTTAGAATATAAAATATGAGCTTAATATTTGAGTCATCTCAAGAGACATCCTTCTTTAGAGACACGACTACTAGATAAAGGCTTGGCTAAGTTCTTAATTAGATATAATAATTGTCTACCTCTTCAAACAATTTAAATACCAGCAACAACAATACAAATAACGTAAACTTAAACTTGAATACTTCTAGCTTCAAATTGCAACCTAGAGACCTCTATCAGCAGTAAAAACGAAATCATAATTCAAAATCTTCTATGGATAACTCAAAACAGTCGATATTACTTCGCAACAATAAAAGTATATCAATACTACCAGATATAAATTAGACTAAAAAGAGGCTTAATTCAATACAATGAGTCAAAAGCCAAGTTATTATTGATTCAGAATTCTAATTAAACAAGGACAACTTTGTCTCAGACAAGAACTACAAAAAGAAACAGTTACCTATTCTAGAGCACATTGAATCAATGAAGTAGCTAAAGCGTTAGCTTAGTATAATGAAAAGAGAGTTGCCTGAAATCCAAATAGTTTAGGATGGAGACTTTGAATATTTTCAGGGATAAGAAACTCATAACACTATAAAAATGAACTACTTTGAGAAATGCAAATTCCAAAAACCTGGTGATAATATCTCTTCTTACAAAGGCAAAAAGAAGTTGGCCTCCTTCTTGGACACATAATCCAATGGTTCTTAACTTAGCTAGATGCTATTATTGTCTTAGAAATCAATTAGACCTGAAAATTGGAGTTTTGTGAGAAGAGATGTAGCTGAGTTATACAAATATTCTGTAATAGGCCCAGTTGATGTCTAGAAAGAAATAAATGACAAGAAAAATCTAATAGAAAAAAAGAAAATTGAAAAGTAGAGATCGAAACTTAGACTAATAATTGACAATAATAGCGTGAATATAAAGTTTCCAGTCAGAGCTAATATTCCTCAGTCCTCCAAAAATTTCTTCGCATAGATTAAATTGGAATAAGAGAAAGAATCTTAAAAACTACAACAATAAAATAACATAATGATGAATAACCTAATTGATCGGTATCCAAAATACTACAAAGAAAGCGCTAAAATGTCAAAGGATTCAATATCATACAAAGATCTTCCTCAGTTTAATAAGAAAACAACCTTCGAAAATATGAAGCATTTCCTTGATAATCTAGCTGAGGATTAGAGGCAGTCTAAAAAGATAAATATTGATGATCAATAGCCAGCAGTGATTGAAAAGGAATCATTGACAAATTAATAGGAGACTAAAACAAATTAATCCAATGATTCAGATGAGTATTGATATTTTAAAGAGGTATTTATCAGGATTATTTAAGAAATGATGATTTAATTTATAGCTTAATTAAGGTGATTGAGTAGGTACCTAATTTTAATAAAATTAATTTAATCATATATTTTTAATAATTTAATGAAAGTTCTAGGCCTAAATTTGAGGACACTTCATCGCAAAAATTGTCAAAATCAGTTTTTAGCATTTAGTTACAAGGTTTCACCACTCTAAATTAATTTTATATCTAAAAAGCTTTTCTCAAGTGTTGAGAAAAATGATCAAAATAACTAGATCGTAAGCTTAGATTATTGATTATAAATATAGGTAGGTGGAAAACAAAGATGATTCCAAAAATCTTGTAGCTAAACTGCAAATTCTTTAAGAAACAAAATCTGAGTAAAAGCTAAAAGCAAAGTCAATTAAATAGTTGAATAGTAAATATGGGAGCCTTTAATCAAAGCAATACGATATACTTGATAAATTTGATTCTAAAGCTGGTTCAAATAGTAAAAAGGGATAAAATCTATCCTAGAAAGCTGAATAAGCAATTGATAGCTTTTTCTTTAGATATGAGACTAAAGAAATAATTGAAAATACCTAACAATAGGACATTGAATAAACAATAGGATCTTAAAATAAGTTAAATAAGAAATCAGAATAGCAAGAACTAGTTACTCTAGAGTCAGATGACAAGAATAGCTTAATTTCTAAACTTCAATTTGAGGAAAAAGTACGTCTCATGTTTGACAAAGACTCATTAGCTTTAAAATCTCTTTAAGAAGGTGTTCTTGATTTTACTGATAAGAGAGTAAACTTGAAGGCAGCAGCTGTAGATTCCTCTCTTAAGTAGAATAAAGATAATTTAAATCTTATTGAAATAGATCTTGGTGAGTTAAAGTCATTAAGTGTGGATTAAATTCATGTTGACGAAATAGATTAAAATAAGGTAGATGTATAGAAAGGCAAGTAAGTCGTTGATGACTCTTTGATTGACAGCCAAAAGTACAAACTAGTAATGATTGGTAGGAAAGTATCTTCAACTGAAAGTGAAAGTCTCTTAGATATTAATGATGCATCTAGTCAGCATATGTTATCAAGTTAAGTTTTTCATGAAAGCGGAGAGAAATTCTCCAAAAATATTGCTAAGGATGAGGGGGTATTTAAGTATTACTTAAGACATTTTTATTTGGTAATTGGAGTGCTGTTTGGAGTATCAACAATGGTATAAATGTACTAGTATTCGTTTAAAATGCTCATCTATTATGAAGATTTCTGTGATTATGCGATATTTTATCATGCCAAAAGAGGTAGAAACATTGAGTAGCTGGTGAGAGTATTCTATTTAAGTGATAGATACTCTGTTGAAAACAGAAATACATGAAATTATATTTTTAATTGATTTTAACTTCAAGCATACTAAGATTGGGGTTTTGGGGTTTTGGGGTTTTGGGG